TATTTATTTTTATTGTATTACATTTCCAACTGCTACACGAGTATAGAGTAAAGTCTAGAGTACATGTAAATTGAGCCAGTTATAAATGTCAATAAATAAAATATACATAAATAGACAAGTGATAATTATTATGCTATAAAGTAGTGATGTTATATGAAATTATTCGCATTGCTTGCTTTTTCCTTCTAATTGTTTCTCTCAATTTTCATGGATACCTAGGAAACTCTAAAAACTTAAGTCTTCCATGATCCTGTAATGGTTGAGCTATGAATATTTATGTCAAGATTTCCAAGCATAATAAATCCAGATGTATTGGATTGCAACTATTACAGGCATCATGGCCAAAGGTGTTAGTTGAAGAGTCATCATTTTTCCCAGTCACAAAATGCAGACTAAAAAGAAAAGTGGAGGAAAAGAAAGAGCTACAATAAATTATAAGAGAGAGAGTATGTGTTTTTACTGCCTTTCTGGCCTATCTTATAGTTTGAATGTACATTTTATTGGCATGATTTATTTCTATATATAGAAGTTTACATATGAACTTAGTTCAAGTTTTCTTTTCTTCGTGTCTTCCAAATATGTTGGTTTTATTTGCTATAATCCTCTGTTGATCACTGTACACTTGCTGGAGATTAGGTTTTAAGTAGAAATCTAAACATCAGAGGGTTCTAGGCTGGAGAACACAGCTATAATATTTTTAAAAATTCCTCTTTTCTTGGCAATATGAAACAGAGACCCATTGAAATCCAGAAACCGCATGTTTAATTGCTGGCCTTGTAATACAGCAGTTAGGATAATAAAGAATGCCAGTATCAACTTAGTCTTTGATGATAGATAATGTTTTCAAGACTGCAGGCTTTTCAAAGCCATGGTTACCACCTACGGCAATGATTAGTAATCAAGGCAGAAATTGTAATTTATGTTGAATGTATCATACAGTATGTCAATGTAGTATACATGAATCAGAATATAAAAGAATTATAAAATATATGACGAACGGTTGCAGGAACTGGGCATGGCTAGTCTAAGGAAAAGAAAGACTAGAAGTGACATGGTAGCAGTATCCCAGTATTTGAGGGGCTGCCACAAAGAAAAGGGAGTCAACTTATTTTCCAAAGCACCAGAAAGCAAGACAAAAAACAATGGATGGAAACTGGTCAAGGAGAGAAGTAACAAGGAAATAAGGGAAACTTCCTGATAGTGAGAACAATTTACTAGCGGAATAGCTTGCCTTCCAAAGCTGCAGGTGCTTCATCACTGGAGGTCTTTAAGAAAAGACTGGACAGCCAGTTGTCACAAATCACATAGGGTCTCCTGCTTGAGCAAAGGGTTGGACTAAAAGACCTCCAAGATCTATTCTGATTGTATTTGCATAGGTTTCCTGAATAGCAGAATGTTCTATGGTCTTTGCTGTACTCCCAATAGGAAGAACTTATTGTAGAAAGTTCACCTCTTGAATTCTATGTAGAAGCTGACTAGACTGGTGACATTGATGACACTAATAGTGATAAAATATATACTTCACCTCAAGAAAATGGTATGCATGGAATAGAATGTCTTCCTCTAGAAAGATTGGGAAGTGGAAACACGTAAAGAACTTTACAACCTCTCAATTAGAAAGATTTACACGTTCTCTTCCTTTTCTTTCCTATATTATTTAAAGTCATCACATTTAATACAATTTTCAGGTTGTTGCTTCACTGAAGAATCCGGAACTGCATGTAATAGGAGAAATATTTTTCTGGAATTCTTTGAGGAATTAAGTTTAGTCTACTGGTAGCCCTCACCTTACGTCCATTTGTTTAGTGACCAAACTTACAATGGCACAGAAAAAAAAGTGATTTATGACCTTTGTTCATACTCACAATCATTGCAGGATCACCATGGTCATGTGATCAAAGTTCAGATGCTTGGCAACCAACCTGTATTTATGATGGTTGTGGTATTTCAGGCAGGGGTGGGCTTCAAATAATTTAGCAACCAGTTCTCTGCCCAGTTGCTGGGTGGGCATGGCCTAGTCGGCTTCCTGCACCACCCTGGGAGCAAAAACGGGCCACAGGGCAGCCATTTTTGCCTTCCTGAGCTCTGGAGGCTTTCCTTGAGCCTCTGGGAGAGCAAAAATGGCCTCCTCAGGCTCCAGAGGCTCTCTGGAAGCCAGAAATGGGCCATTCCCAGCCTTCCAGAGCTTCCAGGAGGCCCATTTTTCACCCTCCCCAAGCCTCCACATGGACACTGCACTTACCTGTGATCCAAAATGGGCTGCATGGGGACTCCTGGGAGGGGAGGGGCAGAGCAGGCAGGGCCAGTCAGTCACTGGAACTACCGGTTTGCTGAACCAGATGTTAAATTAATATCTGGTTCACCCAAACCAGTGTGAACTGGTAGCAGCCTACTCCTGATTTCAGGGTCATGTGATGACCTTTTGTGACTTTCTGACAAGCAATGTCCATGGGGAAGTCAGGTTCACTTAATAGCTGTGTTACTAACTTCACAAGAGAAGTGCTTCATTTAATGACTGTGGCATGATAGGTCATAAAATTGGGGCAAAACTGATTTAACAAGGGTCTTACATAGCAACAGAAATTTTGGGCTCAATTGTGTTATAAGTTGGTGATTACCTGTGTTACTGTAACAGCTGGATTTGGTACCAAGAAAAGACAAGCTGTCTAAATACTTATACAAGGTTTTATTCTATTTTGTTTTTATAGTTGATATTTATGTACTAACACAATTCACTCAAATTTTGCTGGTAAAAGTACAAAGGTTCCTACTCCAATTTCATTTACATTTTCATTTTTTGGAACAGTTTTTAACAATACGATATAATCTCCTCCCCACTTCTTAAATCACCATCCTGTTTAAGGATGAAATAATTCTCTTCTTTTGATTCATTCACTGATCCTCTGAGTGGATTGGGATCTCAGAATTTCAAAAATTAACACACACTGCGATACGTCCAGAGAAGGAAGATGGAAATTGTGAGAAGCCTACAGAACATGAGGAAAAATGGAAGGACTTTGGCATGGTTTGCTCAGAAAAGAGGCAATTAAGAGGAAACATGATAGCTATCTTAACATATTTGAAAGCCTGTCACATAGATGTCTGAGGAAATATATGTTCTTTTGCTTCATTCTGATGCCTGATACAACAGGTTCAAATTATACAAAAAGGGATTTTGGCTAAATATTAGAACTCTCTAGCAGTACAAGCTGTTTAACTATACCAACTGAAATAGATGTGTCCATTCTTCATTAGAGGTTTTAAAGATAGACTGAACTGCAATTTAATGTTGAATTTCTAGCATCACTAGATTGAATGGGATGACCTCCCAATTATTTAAAGCCTGCCACATCTTTCAGCAACTTATTTGCGTCTTAGCCATGTTAATTAAGCACAAATGTCTCTTTGATAAAACATTGCAGAAAAACACATTTTTTTTCTTCCTGACAAATTATATTTTTGCATCCTTAATAAAAGCACCCAGAAAAGGAATTTTAACATAATTGTTTGCTTATTACATTTATAGCAAACACAGCTTTTGACCATGTGCAGGATTTGTTTCTTTTAAAAAGAGAACACAATTCTCCAGGGGAAAATGCTTGATAAAGATTGACATGGTGATGATTTCTAGAATCTTTTCTGAACATTGTGCTTATGCAATGTAGTCATGGTAGCAGAAGGTGGTATCATGAATTTTGTTATTCTGAAATTATTATTTCCCTTTTTGAATATTTGGAATTAAGGAACATTAGAAATTCGTTAAAAAAAAAAATAGTCCCCAGACCTGCCATTTGAAGTAGAAATCCAGTAGATTAAGGAAACCAAGCACAAGAGATTCCCATGTATTTTATTGAAGAGATATACAAACTATACATTCCTCCTTCTTTCCTAGGTTCAGGTTGCATTGCAATGATTTTTACCTTGTAAAAGTGTTCTTCCCACCACTTCACAAAAAAGATTGCAGAGCTACATATAATGGTTTAAAAGACATAATAGTAATGTTGGCCTATCAGGAAAAAAACCCAGGAATCCACATTATGGTAATAATACTTCTGATATTATCAAATGATGTAGGAGAAGTTGCAGAAATCATCAAGGTAAGATGTTACAAGAAGCAGAGAACAAGTAAAAAAAAACACAGTAAAAGATGTCCTAGTATAGTAGCTGAAACTCTGAATATGTTGCATCTGCCGCTCGCAAATAGTTATGTCGACACCTCCAATCTTAAGTCCAAATCTGAGTTGTAGACATCATGGAGACAAATTCTTATCTTTTTGTGCGAGAAGTTTTGGAGTGTCTAGCTTCTTCCCATTCCTTGTTCCTTCCCATTCCTTGTTCCTTCCCATTCCTTGTTTCTTCCCCATTCCTTGTTTTTTGTCACATTTTAGTGGTGAGATTCATTTTTTTTTTTTTACTACCGGTGAAAAATGTGGGCGTGGCTTGGTGGGCATGGTGCCTTGGTGGGCATGGCTTGGTGGGCATGGCAGGGGAAGGATACTGCAAAATCTCCATTCCCTCCCCACTCCTGAGGGAAGGTTGCTGCAAAATCCCATTCCCTCCCCACCCCACTAACCTGCTTTCCAGTTCCATTCTCCTGTGCAGGGCAGGAACTCAGGAGGCATAGAATAGATGGGGGCAGGGCCAGTCAGAGGGGGTATTTGCTGATTCTCTGAACTACTCAAAATTTCCGCTACCGGTTTTCCAGAACTGGTTAGAACCTGCTGAATACCACCTCTGGTTTTGCTTTAGAAAGACTTCTGGAAGACCTAAATGAGGTGGACATTTTTGTACCAGTTTAGTTAGTCTTAATAAGGGGATTAATCACTTTTGGATACAATAATTTGAATCTTTGCTTTGCATTGAAATGGGAGAGAGGGAATCTACTGTATTTACAGAAGGAAAGACTCAAGTTAGTATCTAGCTCTTATTGTAAACAGGTATGGCCACAAAATATAATATTTAATATTGTGGTAATTATTGAAAAAACATAAACAATTATATTTACAGGCAGAATATATTTTTATGTACAAAACTACAGTGTCAGAATTGGCAAATGTCAAGTGCATTTTTATATAGTTTTACATTATGCAATTTTTTGTCTGCCTTACATACATGGAAAGCAATAAATAGGTCTTGTAGAGCAATGGACTGAAAGACAGAAAGAGAGAGAAAAACTACAAAATTCTTTTTAGAGGTAAACAGCAGGCATGTAAAAAAAAAACCATGACAACATGGCAAAATTGCAGAGAAATGAAAATGAATAGTTTTTTTCAGTGATGCATAGATGCTCTTGACTCACATCAAGAAAATCCAACTTTGTTCGATCGTTTCTGGAATGAAACAGGAATTCTTCACATCTAAAATGAAGAAAAGTTTTGAAGTAGTTTGTATTACAAGATTATTTTGGCTTTATTAATTAGGCTGGTTTTTAGAGTGCAAAAACTACAATAATTTGCATTATTTGTCTATAATTTCAAAACTGTTTGAGAATATTAATTAGGACACAATTAATTGCTTGGAACGGTGATACTGTTTCATTTGGGATTAAGGAACATTTAAGGAACCTTACATCTTTCAAATGACAGATTCCCTCAGGCTAATCTTGCAGAGGCCCTACATCTGCCAAAGGAAACCAATGGAAATTTCTAGAAGAAGGATTTAGAAATATCCCTTTTTCCTAATTGTCATTGCCCTCTGTCTGCCTATCTATCTGCCTATCTATTCATCTGTCTTTCTGTCTGTCCATCTGTCTGTCTGTCTATCCATTCATCTATCCATCCATCATCTATCTATCTATCTATCTATCTATCTATCTATCTATCTATCTATC